AGAGAAATGGGAGCGGGAAGCGAGGCTGGCTCAGTGTGTCGAGCGGTTCCAGTCACTCGTCACTATGTATCGCACGGAGGATGCCGACGAAATTCTGCCAGGTGCAATGCTTGTTTTAACCTATTGCCTTATGCATTCGTTCGTGGCTTGTTTTCTCATCTTTCCAGCCTTGTAACAAACTAACCATCCCTAATCGTCCGTGTCTAAATGTGTTTCAGGCATTGACAAACGCAAGGCGATAAAAGAGTTGCGACACTTCGCCCCCATGCTTGCTCGTCTCCCGAAGAGTGACAAGAAGTTTCATGCTGCCCTGTCATTTGTGCTGAAGACCGCTGCCTTGAAGGACCAGTATCCCAACCTTGTGGGTCTGTGGGTGGCTGTGGCGGTGCTGCCTTTGAGCACCGTTGAGTGTGAACGCGGATTCTCCTGCCAGAACATGATTTAGATCTGGCTGAGGAATAGCCTGAATGACACTAGGCTAGGTGATCTCATGTGCTTGTCCCTGTTAGACTACGCGCCGGATTGGGACGCTGTAGTACAGATTTGGTGGGCGTATAAGAAGAGGCGCCCCTTCGGCACTGTTAAAGTGAGCACGCCGAGCAAGAAGGGAAAAGAGAACGTGGACGAGGATGTGAATGCTGAGGGAGAGCAGGAAGAGACAGCAGCAGCAGCCATGGAGTGCCCTGTCGACGATGTGTAATTGTGGTTTTTAAATTGTGTTTTTTTCACCTCAGCGTAGTTTTCTGAGCAAACACTTGTTGGAAATATCTCGAGGACTTGAGCGTTTCTGAAGTGTAACACTACACTCGAGGAAAGTCGTAACGGGTACGCGAGACAACGGAGGTTACACGACGAGGTTGGACGAAAGAACACGAAAGGACGAAAAGGACTCGAAGGGTAGCAACCGAAGGTTGCAACTGACCGTTACAACTGCAAGGGTGGTAACCGAACCGACAATCGAGTCGCTGTGCGACTCGATAACTGTTCCCTCAACTGTATTCTACGACTGCTTTACTTTCCCATTTTCTATATATTACTGTATGCTTGTTTCTTTTAATCAATCACTTGCTCTCACATACTAGTGCAAGGGTTCAACTACTCAATACTTCCGCTGCACTACTCAAACCTTGTACAAGTGGGACTTAGTTTCTCAGCCCAACATGGTATGAGAGCTGGTCAGAGACCAAACTCCTAGCAACTACGCTCCATCTACAGTCAAGCACATCAAGAGATTCATCCATTACAAGTCATGGACAACAAGGGCAAGAAGTCTTCTACGGGCTCACCCAACGCCCAAGACACTCAACCCGGCAACTCTGGACTACACAGTTCAGGACTACAAACTGAGACCGGCGCTGCTCAAGAAACAACAGGGAGGGTACCAGAAATGGTGACCCCTTCACCCTCTTCAAGCATGGACCCGAACCTTATGGAAAGGTTCTTCAGCTTCATGTCGCATTTTGACCAACAGCAGCAGACGAGGACACCTGTGCATTCAACACAGAGCAACGGGGGGAACATGGGATTAGCACCAATAAGCCTCAACAACTCATCATTCAGGCGACACAATCAGGCCCCTAACTTTGCGCCTTATCACTCTTCGCCGGGGACGTTCGAATTCCATCCGCCCTATGCTCAACCGACAGCAGCTGCATCACAACAGACACCAAACGAGATATTGAGTCTCCAGGCGCAGTTTTCACATGTGATCAAACTGCAGACATCTTCACCATTCAACGGGCACGACTTCTTTACCTGGAGATTTGAGTTCGAGCTGCTGATGGAGGCCGCGCACCTCCTAGGATACTTCAACGGGTCCCTGCCATTCCCAAGCAATGGCACTTCAAAGGAGCAGGAAATCTTCACTTATCAGTCACTGCTGGCGTACACAGTTCTCCTGCGAAATTTGTCACCACAAGAGCAACAGAGCATCAGAACGTATCGGAGCTACGGAAACTCCGCGGAACTCGCCTGGCATCATCTGAAGTGCCTCTATCAAGCAAACGACAGCATAACACAAAGCAGACTCATGCAGCAGTTGACCACAATACAAATGACGACCGAGGAAAACGCGATGCAGTATATGAGTCGTTGTCAGACACTCTGCGACCGCCTGCTTCGGTGCGGAGGTAGAATCACTGAAGAAAGCTTCGTCACACTTGTCCTCGCCGGGCTCGGACCAGAATGGAGAACCACCCGCTCGCTTCTTCGCGCCTACGGACGAATTTCCGAAATGCACCTCAGCTTCATGCTGAACAACAGGAGATGGATCCGTTTGAAGAACGACAACCAAGAAACAAGCAGCAGCCGTTAGTCTTCTATACTCAACGAAGAAACGACAACAACAACAACCGACGTGATAAGCACAACCGACATGACACCAGAGGACTCACCATCGTGCCATCGTTCTGTCAGAACTGTCAGACGTCCGGGCACTCCAAGGTTAATTGCACGCGCCCTTGAGTTTATCGTCCAGCAGATCCGCAAGTCGCATCCACTCAAGAAAATCCGCCAAGCCGCTCCTCTACATCTGCACAAGACACACCAAACATCATCAACTACATGGTACAGTACAGACCCCACACAGCCCGAGCAGGTCGATTCTCTCAACGAGCATGGTGGGGACTACACCTCGGCATCGCAAAACATTTCCAAGCATGGAAACTTCTCGACATTCAGGACAAAACCACCGTGGCCTCACGTGATGAGATTTTCTACAAGCAACTGACGCTGCAACATTACCTGGTCAACATCGCCAACACAGACGACCCCACCGACGGCTTCGAGGGCCATCGGTCCTTCGCCGACCTTGCTGCCGAAGCTGACGCAGCAGAAGAAAACGTACCTGAAGCCTCGGAAGCTGCCGGACCACTCCCTTACTGCTCCGTGCCCGTTCCACTCGACGACGACAATCCTCTCGATAGTAACAACCTCGACACCTATTACCACTTCGCAGACCAGGGTTACGCTACACCTCAACCGGTCGACACAAATGTCTCTGAACGCATCGGACCAAATTTCCTACCTGATCCCGAAGACGGTGACGAAGCAGCTTATCCCGAGAATACCAATTCCCCTCGACACACACCCACGGGCCTGCAGATACTTGGACTATGGGTCGCCGTCCAGAGCCCGCCACCGCCGTCACCACGCGAGCCATCGACTCTGTCGCAGGCTCGAGGGGGGGAACACAAGGCAAAATGGAAGGAAACAATGGAAAAGGAATTGAAGGCCCTACAAGACCGAAATACGTGGAAGCTGGTATCTACGACAAAAACCAACGGGAAAAATGTGCTCTCGGGGAAATGGGTGTACCGCATCAAGACCAATGCGGATGGCTCCATCGACCGCTTCAAAGCTCGCTGGATCGTACGAGGATTCGACCAGCGATATGGAACCGACTACGTGGAGACATTCGCCACGGTTTCCCGACACAGTTCCCTGCGCATTTTGCTCGCCGTCGCGGCCACGAAAAAGGTACCACTGCGCCAGATCGATGTCGCCAACGCCTTCCTGTATGCACCTGTGGACGCCGAAATCTTCGTTGAACAGCTCCACGGATTCATCGACGATCCCACAAAGGTGTGCCAGCTGGTGAAATTCCTCTACGGAATTAAACAAGCCCCGCGGCTCTGGCAGCAGCACCTCCTCGACCGCCTCGTCAGGATCGGTTTTTTGCAACTGCCGCACGATCAAGGCATGTACCGACTACAGAAGGGGGGGGATTTCGTCCTACTCATCGTCTACGTCAATGATCTACTCTATGTCGGCTCCACTACCGACGTCACCACCTGGTTCGAAGGGGAGCTGAGGAGGGATTTAACACTCACGGTGTCAGACACCGTGAGCCAATACCTGGGTCTAAACATCGTCGAAGACGACTCAGCGCTCTACCTACACGCCGGAAAATACGCAGGCGTTGTCGCGAAGAAATTCGACCTAACGCCAGTCGCAGTCGCAACTCCCTACCGCTACGGGAAGAACAGCGACACCTCCGCAAAACTCCCCGGGAAGCAAATCCAGGAATATCAATAGAAGCTCGGCTGTCTACTGTTCGCAGCAGTAACCTGCCGACCGGACCTATCCTACAGAGCAAGCCAACTGGCGACACACCTGAAGCAGCCGGAGCAAGAGGATCTCGAGGAACTAAATCGGGCACTGCTCTACTTCGTCTCTATACCGACGGCTGGACTTACCTACAGCAAAGTAACAACATCGTCCGTACAACTATTCGGCTGTGTCGACGCCGACCATGCGGGAGATAGGGAGAACCGTCGCTCCAGAACGGGCTACATCTACCGACTAGAACCTATCGGGACTATCTCCTGGCAATCGAGCAAGCAGGAATTAATCGCGCTATCTTCGGCTGAAGCGGGATATATCGCTCTCTGCACTGCAACCAAAGAAGGCAAAGTTTGATTACTGCATGCTGCTGACTGGGCAGATAAACGTCACCGAATCCGGACACGTCAGCACTCCAGAAACGAAGGGGAGTGTTGGAAATATCTCGAGGACTTTAGCGTTTCTGAAGTGTAACACTACACTCGAGGAAAGTCGTAACGGGTACGCGAGTCAACGGAGGTTACACGAGGAGATGGACGAAAGAACACGAAAGGACGAAAAGGACTCGAAGGGTCGCAACCGGAGGTTGCGACTGACCGTTACAACAACTGCAAGGGTGGTAACCGAACCGACAATCGAGTCGCTGTGCGACTCGATAACCGTTCCTTCAACTGTATTCTGCAACTGCTTTACTTTCCCATTTTCTATATATTACTATATGCTTGTTTCTTTTAATCAATCACTTGCTCTCACGTACTAGTGCAAGGGTTCAACTACTCAATACTTCCGCTGCACTACTCAAACCTTGTACAAGTGGGACTTAGTCTCTGGAAAGGTCCTAAGGGCTTTTCTCAGCCCAACAACACTGAATGATCAGAGTTTTTTTCCCTTCTAGCAGTGAAGAAACTTTTTTTTTTTAACAATCAACACTAACACATCAGGGGAATGTAGGTGGGGATGGCTGATTGATCAGGGTACCTCTAAACGAATATTAGGCCCTGCTAAGCGCTCTAATCGCTACTGAAAGGGGCGCAACTGTTTGCGTGATTGAAACAGCCGGCCGGCGTAATCATCCAGACGAGCTCTATTTGCTGACGTCATTCTACGGATGCTAGGTTGAGTATATCTCGACAATATCCATCAGAACTACTTCCTATGATTTTATCACAACAATTTGCACCATTTGGACTGGTTAGCTTGACAAATATGTGTACGAGTGCATAGTTCGCTTCAGATTGTGCAGCAGTGTCTGTGCCTCTTCAAGGGATAGCGTGCCTTCAGCCACAGCTTCCTCAGCTATGTTGCGAAGATCCTCCATCATGTCACCCGCATCATGCTGCATACAAAATAACAATGCATGAAGGATCAGACCAGCGTCAAATTGTTTTAGAGCATGGCCACTGCAGCTCCTTAGACATACCTGAACTGTACGAAGCACTTGGTCTGTGGTCTGGCCAGGTACCACGTGCTCAATGCTGTATCCTCCCCTGTGAAAAATCAGCTTGCCATTGGGCTTCGACTGGATACCGTTTGGAGCCTTGTCGGGGGATTTCGGCCTTGCACGGACGTACACCACATTGGTGGTTCCAAATAGGTTGTGGGAGCTTCCCATCACCTCCTGCATGTTACACAGTCGACGTATTGTGAGGAAAGAGAAAGCAGGGAAACCAGGAGGCAAACCTCATGTGAATGCGTAGGAGTAATGGGAGCAAAGGAGTGTGAAAAGGGACAGACGAAGGTGGAAGATCGGGGTGGAGGATGAAAGGTCGAGCTGAATCGGGAGGATGAAAAGTACCTGATAGGTTCCTGCAAGGAAGAGCCCAAGGTAATAAGGCCGATTCTCCCCCAGCTCATGAACAGTAATAACCTTCCCTGTTTCATTGGGGTAGCCAGGGAAGTGGTCAATCTTTCCATCGCTATCGCATGTTAGGTCAGCAAGAGTCGCCTGAACTGCAGGCTCTTCATCCAGTCGGTGAATGGGCATGATGGGGAAGACCTGGCTGATAGCCCACGAATCAGGGACAGAGCGGAAGACTGAAAGGTTCACATGGTAGATCGCTGCAAACGATCGTCGAAGGGTCTCAGCATCGTCTGCCATCTCCCCAGTTTCTCGAGCGAAGCGAAGCACCTCATGGCAGATGACCTGTTCAGGTTAAGATAGAAGATGCAAGTGATGAGAGACATAGAGCGGGCGCAAAGGAGGGAGAACGCGAGTGGGGAGGGGAGAAGGGGGATACTTTACCACCTTGTGAAAATTTGTGATTGAGGCAAAGACAGCGTCAGCAGTGAGCTACATCAGGGTTAAGTGCTGATTAAGTACCTGGTACAGTGAGTCAGCCTGTGCCCTCTGCTCGAGCGTCAGACATCCGAGCTTGAACAAGGCTGTAGCCTCTGACTTGAATTGCTTGGCATCATGATAGGCCTCCTGGAAATTGGACTCATCCAATGTTTCGAGAACCTCTCGAAATGTGCGTAGAAGATATATCCCTGCCCCATTTTCCAGCCTTCCGTGCCTTGCCTTCCTGGGCTTTGGCTTGTCCCCTGCTGGGAATTGCTCTGGGAGCACGACGTGACCGTCGTCTGTTGAATCCTTACTAAGTATCTGGAAGTTCTGAAGGGCGTCAATCTCGTCAAAGGTGTTTGCGCTGAGGACATCAAACACAAGAACTGACTGGTGAGACGCCAAAGCCCTGCCACTTTCAGTCGAGATTATTGGTTGCCTGACTCCTTTCAGCAAACAGGCGTCAACAACTGCAGCCACCACATCGTTGGCATAGTTCTGGACAGACACAAGAAACACAAACAGATCAGACATGGAACAGCTACAGAAACACACACCTCAGCATACAAATCAAATACCTGCATGGTGTAATTTGTTGAAGCAACAGAAGAGCTTCTTGATCCGTCGTAGTCAATACCAAGACCACCTCCAACATCAATGAATCCCTGCATATTGCTCGGAGAATATGAGCACACTGCCAGGACTCCCAAGACGTACAGAAACCTTGTTACACGTGTGTTACAAAGGCATACCATCTTCGCACCCATCAATGCAAGTTCACAGTATAGGTGACTGCCTTCTCGCATGGCTTCCTTGATCAGGGAGATTGTTGGAATTTGTGATCCAATGTGAAAGTGAAGGAGTTGAAGGCAGTCTAGCATCTCATGCTGCAAACATAACAACAAGCAGACATGATGCTTCCTTCAGAAGCACACTCGTATGTTAGACAATAGGACCGGCATAATAAATTATCTCATACCTCTCTGAGAGTTTTAACAACCCTCACAATCTCGTTGATGCTAAGACCAAACTTTGCACGGTCGCCAGACGTTTCACCCCAGTGACCATCATGCCGTGTGCTTAGCTTGGCCCTGACTCCAATCACAGGGCGTGCATCCAGCCGTTTGCTTGCTTCCAGAACCAATGGAAGTTCTTGCATCTGCTAATTCACCAATACTGATGTCAAAAGGGGATCAGGATGCAACAAACTAACAGAGAAGGGAGAATGCAAACGATTTTGACCTGTTCAAGAACAATAATTGAGTTGATCCCAAGTTTCCTTGCAACAAGCGCATTCTCGATGTATTCTTGATCCTGCCAAGGTCAAACAATGTGTATAATGCTCAAAAATTGATTTCCACCTCAATTAGGAACTGGTAAAAGAGCACAAACGGTGCGCAGACAACACACACCACGCTACCTTGTAGCCATTGCAGACTAGGATTGCGCCATCGTTGTTCTTGAGCTGTGACATCGCAATAAGTAGCTCTGGCTTCGAACCAGCCTCCAGGCCAAACTTGATCGGCCGGCCATACTCAACAATATCCTCTAGCAGGCGGCGATCCTGATTGCATTTCACTGGGAAAACGCCTTGAAATGCCCCCTGAAACACGTGCCAATTCACCTGTGAGTACTGAAGGACTAGAGCCATCACAGGCGACTACAGCGGACATTGAGTCTCCTTAACCTGAAGTTAGTATAACACTGCAAGAATCAGTCGCCCACCTCATAGCCGAACCGAACGATGGCCGCATCAAAGCAGTTTTGAAGCTCTTGCATTCGGTTTTGGATAATATCGGGAAACCGAATAACCATTGGCAGCTGGACATTTCTACGCTTAAGAGAATCCACCAGCTCAAAAAGGTCAATGGTTTCCGCACCTGCAAGTCACACCGCGAGATTTGTTATGCAGGTTGAAGAAACAGCACTGATCGCTCATAATATGCCAAAGTTTACCGTCATCTGATGCGTCTGGTGAAACAACAACATGACCCTTCTCATTCACGGCGAAATATGATGCTCCCCAGCCTTCGACCTTGTAGAGTGCGGCGGAATCTGCCGTGGACCATGATGGCTGCGCTTGCGTGGCGGCTTGATTTGAAGCTCTCACGACGATAGACTTCGAGACCATAGGACCGGATGCTAGGGAAACCTTCAAGACGCTTCGGTGGCGAGGCGTTCCGATGCGACTTGGCGAGGTGCCTGCAGCTAGGTCGACAGGATCACTATCAATCGAGTAGCCGCATGGAGGAAGGCCACGGGTCGAATGGATGCCAGCTGCCATGGCCGCCATCTGGGTGGGGAGAATGGACACTCGCTCCATCTATAAGTCCTCTGGCGGCTATGATGAGGAATCCAGCTCGCCGCCAAAGCAGCATCCAAGGCAACTCTTCTCAGCTTGGTGAAAAGTATCCCCAGAGATCGGAAAAAGGCATCATTTCCGAACTTAGGTGTAGCTCTTACGTCACACGCTACACTTAAAAGGGTTTTGCTCAAAATTGACTATAAAGTTATGAAGACTCGCGCAGGCCCCACGGTTGGTTTTAAGGTACCCTGATTGCTCAGTGTCGTACTCAAAAAGAAAAACTTTCCATCAGTCTTGAAAAAAAAAAAGAAAAAAAAAGGCTAATTCATCAGTCCTGGATTGCGAAAGCTGGCTTTCCCATCAGGGTTACCGAAAAAATCACGCTGATCTAGCCAAAACATTAAGCATTCCGCTGATCTATTCCATAATCTACTCCAAACTAAGCATAACATCATATTGTCAAACATCTATATTTGTCATGTTTGTATAGACTGTATAGGGTTACCTCTTAGAGGGTACAACACTTAGGTATATTTGTGTGTACTCTCACTTTACTATCAATCACAATTCCAATTCTGATATGGTATCACGCGTAGGTAGGATCCCCCCCACCTACCGCTTCCGCTCATGCCCCCTAGCGCCCCTCCTGGGCCCCGTCGCGCTCCTCCCAGGCCCCGTAGCGCCCTGTCGCGCCCCTCCTGGGCCCCGTAGCGCCCCTCCTGGGCCTCGTCGCGCCCCTCCTGGGCTTCGTAGCGCCCCTCCTGGACCCTGTAACGCTCCTCCCAGGCCCCGTCGCGCCCCTCCCAGGCCCAGTCGCGCTCCTCCCAGGCCCCCTAGCGCCCCTCCTGGGCCCCGTCGCGCTCCTCCCAGGCCTCGTAGCGCCCCGTCGCGCCCCTCCTGGGCCCCGTAGCGCCCCTCCTGGGCCTCGTCGCGCCCCTCCTGGGCTTCGTAGCGCCCCTCCTGGGCCCTGTAACGCCCCTCCCCGGCCCCGTCGCGTCCCTCCCAGGCCCCGTCGCGCTCCTCCCAGGCCCCGTAGCGCCCCGTCGCGCCCCTCCTGGGCCCTGTAACGCCCCTCCCAGGCCCCGTCGCGCCCCTCCCAGGCCCCGTCGCGCTCCTCCCAGGCCCCCCTAGCGCCCCTCCTGGGCCTCGTCGCGCTCCTCCCAGGCCCCGTAGCGCCCCTCCTGGGCTCTGTCGCGCCCCTCCCGGGCCCCGTCGCGCCCCTCCCAGGCCTCGTCGCGCCCCTCCTGGGCTCCGTAGCGCCCCTCCTGGGCCCCCGTCGCGCCCTCCCTGGGCCCTGTAGCGCCCCTCCTAGGCCCCGTCGCACCCTGCCCGACCCCGTCGCAGCCGTCCGGCCCCGTCGCGCCTGCCCTGCGCCGTCGCAGCCGCCCGGCCCCGTCGCGCCCGCCCGGCGCCGTCGCACCCGCTCGGCCCCGTCGCGCCCGCCCGGCCCCGTCGCGCCCGCCCGGCCCTGTCGCAGCCGCCTGGCCCCGTCGCAGCCGCCTGGCCCCGTCGCCCTTGCCTGGCCCCGTCGCAGCCGTCCGGCCCCGTCGGCCCCGCCCGGCCCCGTCGCACCCGCCCGGCCGCCGTCCCGCTCGCCCGGCCCCGTCGCACCGGCCCGGCCCTGCCGCACTCGCCCGGCCCAGTCGCCCCAGCCCGGCCCCGTCGCGCCCGCTCGGCCCCGTCGCCCCGTCCCGGCCCTGTCGCACCAGCCCGGCCCCGTCGCCGCCGCCCGGCCCCGTCGGGCCAGCCCCGGCCCCGTCCTCCTCACTGGTACGGTTCCCCCCCACCCTGCCCTGCTCCGTGCCGCCCCGCACCACACTGTACTGCCTGGCACCGCACTACACCGCACTACACCGCACTGCACCGCACTGCACCGCACTGCACCGCACTGTCCCGCACTGCATCGCACTGCACCGCACTCCACCGCACTGCACCGCAGTGCACCGCACTGCACCGCACTGCACTGCCCTGCCCTGCACTGGACTGTTCCTGATGGCGGCGGAGCTTCGCTTCGACGCTGAAGGTCAGCCCCTAGAGTTCGAGGCGTGGCTTGCCGACCTCCGCCGTCAACTCACTGGCCAGCGGCAGGATGGTGAACCGCTTTCCGCACACCTTGAGGGTACGCTCCCCTGCCCAGACCCCCCTGCTATTCTGCCCGCTGACCCCACACCCACTGAGCGTGAGGCTACTGCTGCCACTGCCCGTGCGCGCTCTGTCTGGCTTTCTCGCGATGCTGTTGCCCAGCTTGCCATTAGCAACGCCCTTCCCCCATCCGAGCGTCCTCGCTTTAGGTCCCTCACTACTGCTCAGGCATACTTAGATGCTGTGATCAAGCGCTATTCCACCCCTCCGGCTGCCTCGGTGGGTCGCCTGATCCTTCCGATGCTCTTTCCTGACCTTGCATCTTTCCCCACTGTCTCTGACCTCGCTGCCCACCTGCGCTCGATAGATGAGACCTGGCGCGCTGCCTGCACTGACGCCCAGCTTAGAGCCCACCAGCCGCCCATTACCTCTACCCTCTACCTGCTTGCCACCCGCCTCCCTGACCGCCTTGCTGTCGCCCGCGACCGCTTTCTTAGCGTTCACCCCGCAGACCTCACCCTCACTGACTTTGTAGACACCCTGACTGTGATAGAGACCCGTCACCGCTCCATTGCCCAGGCGAGCAGTGTCGTGCCAGTCCCTATCTTTCAGGGTTGTGCCCCCGCTCAGTGCACCTTCTCCGACGGCTCTGCCGCAGTGGCTGAGACTGCTGCTGCAGCGCAGGTCCGTTCGGGGAAGGGTCGCCACCCCAAGGCTGGGCGCGGCGGAGGAGGGGGCGGGGGTGCGGGCAGCATCAGGTGGTTCGGGTGCAGCATCAGGTGGTTCGGGTGCAGCATCAGGTGGTTCGGGTGCAGCATCAGGTGGTTCGGGTGCAACATCAGGTGGTTCGGGTGCAGCATCAGGTGGTTCGGGTGCAGCATCAGGTGGTTCGGGTGCAGCATCAGGTGGTTCGGGTGCAGCATCAGGTGGTTCGGGTGCAGCATCAGGTGGTTCGGGTGCAGCATCAGGTGGTTCGGGTTCAGCATCAGGTGGTTCGGGTGCAGCATCAGGTGGTTCGGGTGAGCACAGAGTGGGAATATCAGCAGCAACTGCAGGAAGGGGAACAGTGGCTGGTGGTTCAGGAGTGAAGAAGCAGGGTGCAGCGGTGGCAGGAGGAAGCACAGGGGGGCAGTCAGGGAAGGGCAAGACTGTGCCAGGTGAGCATGGTGATATTCAAAGGAATGCCAGCCGCACTGCAGGTGCAGGGAAGGAGGTGGTGGTGGCAGTACCAGCTAAGCAGGGAGGGGGCGGGGCTCAAGGGGATATGGGGGCCAAGGGGCACGTGAGCAGTGGCAAGGGGGGCAAGAGGGCAGAGGTGGTGGGTAGCAAGCAGGCAGCAGGTGGCAGAGGAAAGGCTGGAGCTGCTTCAGGCAGTGCAGTGGCAGCAAGCAAGGGTGCTGCTCTGACTCCTAAAGTCAGCAGTCCTGCAGTGCGTAGCATCACAGGCACAGCAGCAGCAGCAGCAGCAGCAGGCAGCAAGACAGCAGCAAGAGTAACAGGTGGTAAAGCAGCAACGGGGCAGGGGATGAAGGTAGCTGGGAAGGAAGGGCAATCAGGGAGAGTTGAAGGTGGGAAAGCAGCTGCGGCTGACAGTGGCAGTGCACAGGGGAGACAGGCTGCAGAGGCGTCAGCAACAGCAACAGCCCACAAGGCGGGATCTAGTGTTGAGATGTCCGCTGCAAGCAGTAAAGTGAAGGCAGTGGGTGGTGCAGCAAAAATTGCTGCTAGTGCAACAGCAGGGAAAGGTGTAGCCCAGGGCAAAGGTGGGAGAGAGGGCCCTGTAAGAGGTGGGAAAAACGTGAAAGTAGGTGGGAAGGAAGAAACCATGGAGACCAGTGGGCGCAAAGACCAAGTACCACAGCACCAGCAGCCGCACAAGGCGACGCAGCAAGAGGTGCAGAAGGGCCAGGACAAAGGAAGCATGGCAGATTCTGGGCTGAAGCAACAAAGTGCTGCTGGCAGTGTAGAAGGTACTGGGAAAAGCCAGCTGCCTGCACATGGCAGCAGGTCAGGGATAGCGAGTGTTAATGCTTCGGGAAGAGAAAGCCCTGAAGCGACGGTGCAACAGAATCCTCTAGATGCCAAAACGAGTAGACCAGTAGGGAAGGGGGTGGTTGCCAGTAGAGGTACTACCAATGCCAAAACAAAGGCCAAAGGCTGATTGATTTAATGAGTATTCTTTTTCTATAGTACACCTAGAATGTATGCTTGACAACAACCCCCCTGTGACCTGTCTCTCGTAAACAACACCAGCAACATGCTGGAACTCACATGCCAAATACAGGTACACGTATAGATGTCAATTGTTATGAATGGGACTGCTGAGTAGCGCGGAGGGCAATGGCGAAACTGTGAACGAGTGAATGACAATAAAATGAAAGACAATACAATATATAGAAAGCCTAGGGTGATCCTGGACGTAGGATCGGAAGGTTCGGGAAAAGTATCGAAGGGCCTCGATGTGTCGTAACGAGGTCCGGTAAGGCCCAGGAGGCTCGACCTGATAAGTCTGGAACCCTGGCGATGTTCGGGACTGTTCGAGTCGTACGCCCTGTAGCAAGCCTCAGTAAGGAATTACTAATTCCTTACACTCTCCCCCCTTCTAGATAGGATCCCCTGCTTTGTGTAGTCTTGGTGCTTCCGCCGTCGTTCCGTCGCCAGACCCCTCGGCTTTGCTTTCCTTCACCTTGGACTCTCGCGCCTCTTGGTGTTTCTTCCGCGACTCCACCACCCTGACGCCGCTTCCTGTTCCTGCTGTCGTTTCTCTTGCTGAACCCTCCGGCGGTCCGGTCGTCGCCCGCAGTTCCACCACCCTTCCCTGTCCGGCGGTTCCTTCGGGTTCTCTTACAGGTCTACATATCCCCTCGTTCTCCAGGAACCTAGTTGGTGTCGGCTGCCTCCAGGACCTTGGCGTCACCACTACGTTCCCTGGTCACGAGCGGTATGCTGTCTGTACCGAGGCCGCCACTGGTGCCCCCCTGTCCACGTTCCCCCGGGACCCGGTGTCCGGCCTGTTCACTCTGGACACCGTGACCCCCCCGGCTGGAGCGCCCCCTCAGGTGGCTGCGTCTACCCAGGTTGCTGCTGCCTGCTCCTGTCGCTCCCTCACTCACCCGACCCTCCTGTGGCACCACCGCCTAGGTCACCCTGCGCTCTCGCGTCTGCGTGACATGTCTCAGCACGGTCTCGTCCTTGGTCTCCCAAGTTCGCTCCCCGCGTTTCCCTCCTCTCCAGGCCCACCTTGCACGCCTTATGTCGAGGGTCGGCTTCGCCGTGCCCCTCACTCCTCCTCGTTCCACCCTACCGCCGCGCCGCTGCAGACCCTGCACCTGGACGTCTGGGGCCCCGCCCCCGTCCCTGGGCCGCGTCGAGAGCGCTACTTCCTTGTGCTTGTCGACGACTTCACTCGTTACACCACAGTCTTTCCCCTGGAGCGCAAGGCCGATGTGCCTGGCGCTCTCATCCCCTGGCTTGTCTCTGCGCGTGTCCACCGCAATCTCCCTGTCGTGCGTCTTCACTCAGACCGTGGTGGCGAGTTTGCCTCCGGTGTCCTTGGTCGCTTTTGTCGTGCGGAGGGCATCACCCAGACGTTCACCCTACCGGACTCCCCACAGCAGAATAGGGTCGCTGAGCGACGCATCGGTTTGGTCATGGAGGTCGCTCGCACCTCCATGATCCATGCCGTTGCACCCCATTTTCTGTGGCCGTTCGCTGTGCGCTACGCTTCTCACCAGCTTAACCTGTGGCCGCACCCTCAGCAGCCGCAGGTTTCGCCGACCCGTCTTTGGACTGGGTCCCCTGGTGACGCGTCTGCGTTCCACGTCTGGGGCTGCCTTGCTCACGTCCGTGCCTCCGGCACGGACAAGCTCACTGCCCGCACCCTTCCCTGCGTCTTCCTCGGTTTTCCCCTCGACGCGTCCGACTGGCACTTTTACCACCCGCCGTCTCACCGCTTCTTTCACTCTCGTGACGTCACCTTTGACGAGTCTGTCTCCTACTACCGCCGCTTTCCCCACCGTGGTCCCCCGGTTACCCCCCCCCTGTTCCTGGCCACCCCTTCCCCGGTAGTCCCTGCCCCTCCTCCTCCTCCTCCACGTCTCGCCCCCTCTGGTGTGTCCCACGTCACCCCCCTTCCGTCCGTGGACCCGGTTGAGGAGTCGTCTGACTCTGGTGGCCCTCCTGTGCAGTTCTCGCCGGCCGCCCCTCCCCAGGTGTCCCCTCCCCAGTCCCCTCCTCCACCGCCACTACCGCTGCTGCAGCCGTCGTCGTCGCCGCCGCCGCCGCCGCCGCCGTCGCCTCCGCCGCCGCCGCCGCCGCCGTCGCAGCCCCCGTTCGCTGACTCTGGGGGTGCTCGTCCCGGTCGCCCTGGGGGTGGTCCCTCTAGGGGTGCTGGTGTGGAGAGTGCCTGTGGTCGCCGAGGAGCAGCTTGCGGTCCAGGTGTCGCCGTTGTGCCGCCGCAGCAGCGGTCCCCGCCGGTGTCCGCCCTTCGCCTGCTCGGCCTTCCGTCCCCCGACCCTGCGTCGGTTCCTCCCCGACCGTCTCCTCCTCTTCCTGTCTACGGCCCTGTTTTCCCTCCGCCGGACTCGTCCCCGGCTCGTCTCCCCCCTCGTTCCCCTCCTGTGTCCCCTCCCCTGTCTCCTGACCCGACTCCCCCGTCGCACGTCTGGTCTCACCGCCCCTCCCGTGCTCGTCCTGCCTCGCCTGTCTTGCGCTCCCACCCTATGTTGCTTCGTTCCCTCGCGTCTCGTCCTCCCCTTCTCCCGTCGCCTCCTCCATCCTCCCTTGTTGTTGCGCCCCCCCCGCTGTCCGACTACCTTCGTGCCGCTCGTCCTCTCGTTCCTCGGGTCCTTGCCTCTCTCGTTACCGACCCGTCTGTTCCGGTCTCGTGCCTTGCCGCTCTTGTCGCTGCTGTCGCTGACTTCGCCTCTACCCGCCGCCTTGACAACGCCACCGCTCTGGTCTCTGACCCTGCCTGTCCTCCATCTGTCGGGGGTGCTCCTGCCCTTGGCAGTGACGTCCTGGAGGACCGCTAGTTCGAGCTTGCTTTCCTCTCCGAGGCTGCTCCCCATCTCTGTTCCATGCTGCTAGTCCCTGAGGGTGACCCAGACGCTTTCGACATCCCGACCCCTCGCACTTACGCTGAGGCGACTTCGGGACCCTAGGCCTCGCAGTGGATAGCTGCCATGGAGCAGGAGATGGCATCTTGGAGATCCACCGGCACCTTCATCGACGCAGTTCCCCCACCTGGGGTGAACGTAGTCGATGGCCGCTGGCTCTTCAAGGTGAAGCGCCCTCCTGGAGAGCCGCCTGTCTTCAAGGCGCGCTATGTGGCTAGAGGCTTCAGTCAGCGCGAGGGGGTGGACTTCTTCCAGACTTTCGCTCCGACCCCGAAGATGACTACTCTTCGGGTTCTGTTACACCTAGCTGCTCAGCGTGACTACGAGCTTCACTCCCTCGACTTCTCCACTGCCTTCCTTCAGGGCAGTCTACACGAGCAGGTCTACCTGCGTCGCCCTCCGGGCTTTACTGGCACCTTCCCTCCTGGGACCCAGTGGCTCCTGCGGCGCCCCGTCTACGGCCTGCGCCAGGCTCCCCGTGAGTGGCACGACACTCTCCGTGCTACCCTTGCTGACCTGCAATTCTTTCCGTCTTCCGCAGACCCTTCACTCTTCGTTCGTGCTGGCCAGACTCCGTTCTACATTTGTGTTTACGTCGACGACCTGGTCTTTGCCACGGCAGACAGGGACGCACTGGCCTCCGTGAAGGCAGAGCTGCTGAAGAGACACACATGCACTGACCTTGGAGAACTGCGCCGGTACCTTGGCTTGCAGATCTCCAGGGACAGAGCTGCGCGCACCATCACCCTGACTCAGTCACACTTGGTGCGCCAGGTCCTTCAGAGGTTCAGCCTTCAGTTCTCCTCTGCACAGCCCACCCCTCTACCTGTAGACCACAGACTCTCCGCTCCAGTACCTGAGGAGTTGGTAGAGCCCAGCGGCCCCTACGCAGAGCTGGTGGGTTGCCTCATGTACCTGATGACTTGCACTCGCCCAGATCTCGCATACCCTCTCAGCATCCTGGCGCGCTTTGTGGCCACAGGCAGACACCGACCGCAGCACTGGTCTGCCGCTAAGAGGGTTCTGCGTTATCTTGCTAGTACATCGGGCATGGGGTTAGTGCTTGGAGGACGCAGGCCAGTGGTCCTTACTGGACACACAGACGCTTCGTGGGCAGACGACGCTGAGACACTCAGGTCTACCCAGGGCTACTGCTTCAGCCTTGGCTCAGGTGCCGTCTCGTGGAGAGCTACTCGCTCCTCGTCTGTTGCACAGTCCAGCTGTGAGGCTGAGATCTACGCTGGTGCCATGGCGGCACAGGAGCTCCGCTGGCTGACCTTCTTGCTCACTGACTTAGGTGAGCGGCCTAGCTCTGCCCCGGTCCTGTTCGCTGACAACAGGGCCATGATCCTCCTGTGTCAGGAGCCTCGACTCGAGGGCAGAGCGAAGCACATTCAGCTGCGGTACTTCCTCCTGCGTGAGCTACAGCAGCGACGTCAGGCTCGCGTAGTAAACTTGGCCTCAGGTGCCAACACAGCTGATATCTTTACAAAGGCGCTTGCGCCTAAAGATCATCAGCGGCACTGTGTACAGCTTGGTCTAGTTCCTGTCGCTTCTCACTTGCTAGGACCTTGACTTGTACTGTCCTTTATATGTATACTCAGACTGGACTTGTGTCCTCTCCCAGTGGCTGGACTAGTAGTGCCGCCCTGAGCTGCTTGTTTAGGGTATTCCCCTATGCAGTCTAGGGGGTGTGTCAAACATCTATATTTGACATGTTTGTATAGACTGTATAGGGTTACCTCTTAGAGGGTACAACACTTAGGTATATTTGTGTGTACTCGCACTTTACTATCAATCACAATTCCAATTCTGATACATATCGCATCATTCTGACTACAAAATCTACGAAATCAGCAAAATAAGCTACTAAGTTACCGTAATACTAACATGCTTCTCACAGACAGATTCTTTACCAATGTTACAAGTTTTGCAGCCGCACAGCTGTACCACTGTCAAACATATATTGTACATTTTTGTAGGCTATATAGGGTTGTGCCTTAAAACCCCATGGCAAAATAGCAGAGAGGGGGGCCCTCTTGATGGTTGTATCAGAATGAGTAGTTGAGTAGAATAGAAGGATACAGGGGTATATAT